TGATCATTCACTGGCTATTTGCAATAATAACAATAATTTGTAGCAATAATTTTAGGTATTATTTGCCCACTGGCCTAAGGTGAGGTGCAGGGAGGTGGATTGTGACCAGTCTACTTCTCCTTATTTAATTTAAAGCCACCAACCCAAAGACCACGGATGGAAATTATATACTTTTATCTCCACCCACCTCCCTGTTATTTTACAGGCCTCATCCTTATGTTATGGAGCCTTTTAGCAACTCTGCAGCAATGGTTGTCCAGTCGCTAGTTTATAATTACAGACAGTGAGCGGTCACTGAATAGTAAATGTGCCCCTACCACCTACATTGCAGATGGGGGCACCATTATATTAATCATGATTATATTAATATGTGGGTTATATTAACCCTTTTAGGTTTACTTATATAATTTTTAACTTTTCAATATGGTGCCTGCTGCAGATTCGGCCGGGTTGGCTGAATTCTAATCAAAATTAACTTTAGTAAATATTAGAATTCCCATTCCGATCAGAATTCGGTAAGTTTCACTGATTTTTCCAAATGGACATAATCCAGTGTTTACTGAATTACCCTGTCAGACTAAAACAGCTGTAAAATTATCTGATTCATAAATTAATCCCTTTTCTTCCCAAATGCATTTGATCATAAAGCAAGCAATGCTGTCATTGGTCAGTGAATTTAAAAGAATATGACAATAGGAAGCAGCCATCTTTTATTTATACCCAACTGCAAAATAAGCTCCATTTTAGATATAATTGATAAAGAAATCATATGTAAATGCCCTTCATTAGACTATTCCCAAGGTCAGAGGTATCTCCTTTGGATTGGTATAGGCAAGGGGCATGAAATCTTCAACACTTCAGATGTAGTGGGCTACATCTCCCCTGATACTGGGTCTGCAATATAACTTTAACAGCATTATGGGAGATGTCGTCCACAGCAGCTAGAGTGCCATAGGTTGCCTAATCCTGCTATAGACATTGTTACTATAGTAACAATTTGTTGTGGGCAGTTGCCTGGGCCCAACTCATATTTCCCTGTCCCAGCCATTGTGAATCAATAAAATTGCACAGGGTCCCAGGTTTTCATGTTTTCCCAGTGGTTAAGAACAAGTGGATTAGAGTAGCCACAGACTTATCTCCCAGTTTTAATTATGGCCAAGAGAGTGTTACCGTAAGTCCTCAACAATGATACTTGAATATTACAAGAAATTTAGATCTTCAGCTTGCGCCGTGCAATGTCCATGTAATGTCAATGCAATGTCCATGCTGTATACATGAAAAACATATGAGCATTACCCAGTCATTTGAGAATTATGATCAAAATGTTTATACATGGAATTTTTAGTTTATTCTGATTTTTGTTGCTAGCTATACATCTTCTGATTTAAATAAATGTTGATGTAATGTAAATAAACACTAACATTTTGTTAACAGAAAATATTTAAAGAGATTAGCAGAAACATAGAGACGGAAGGTTTATTGTCACACAGAGATGTCTCTAGCAGCTAAGCATATTATCAACTTAATAAATAACTCAAATTACTACTATCTGATGACACGCATTGTGATTCCCATTTAATTATGATGAAACGTAGACTGCAACTAATAGAACCAAATATTACAACTGGTAAATCTCGAGCTGGGTTATGGAATCTAGTGCCCTCTACTGGTGACCTAGCGTTTTGCAGTTTATCACAATACTAAATGGCTGTAACCAATATAGAAAATTCCATCACAATCTATTACATTTAAAGCACCATTAAGTGTCAAATGAATTCAAAAAGTCATAGAAAACACTATTCTCATATTGATATACATAAATGTATTTCATAAATATTCCTTTGGGTCAGAGGACTCCAGCCCCTAGTATGCTTTGGTAATGATGGCTGAGCATCATGTGAAATGGCATTCTGAAACATACATGCCATAAAGTCTGTTTGGGCATCTTATAAAATTTAGTTTCATATTCTCAAGGTGGGTCATCATTGGAATGCCTAGGTCAGAGGAAAGCAACCTATCCTTGGCCTAGGTCCTGCTTGTATTAAACCATACACATTCTTTAAATGTACTTAGTACTATAACCACGCTTAGTACTATAACCACTACATGCAATTGCATCTTTAAAATGCAAGAGCCTGGAGCACTGGTAGTCAACAGAGGGACACTGTTTCAAAACTAAAAATCACTTGAAGCTTTGGAAGACTTTTGGAAGACTTTAACATTGCTAAGCATCATGGGATTTGTGAATCTACCTAATGGCTACCTTTCGCCACTCATGGATTAGATCATTGCAATGCAATTTGCACCTCTGCCATTGTGCACAGCAGTGTGAAACTAGACCTGAAGTCTTTCCTGCACATGACTGCATCCAATCATATTGCATGACTTGTGGAATGCGTACAATAAACATCCCATTATGCTTATATAAGCTCAGCTTGTCACACAGCCTCTATAAACCATGAAGCTACTTAAAATGAGATATATTCTGTCCTAAACATAGAATCACAGGGATTTATTCACTAAACTCAGAGTGGTAGATGACTAACTTGGAACTGAAAATATTGAGCAGATGCTGATTGGAGCAGTGTTTTGCCGGGCATGTGCAATAGCCTCCGAACGCTTTCAGATGGGATAGCATTAGATTGGCAGGAATCATCAAGTTTGATGATCTCAGCCAAGGAGCCGGAGCCAGCCGAGAGGAGACCGACGCATCAATGAAAAAAGGTAAGTAAAACCAGGGGGGCAGGGTAGTTAAATGGCACTGTTAAAACTATAGTGTCAGGAATACACATTTGTACTATAGTGTTCCTTTAATTATATTCCAGCTCATCTAGTAAGGCCTAAAATTCAGGACTTCAGGCAAATCCTCACAATTCATGGTTTAGTGAATAAAACTCGAAATGGCATTGACCAGCACCCTTACTTTTTTGAGGGAGCTACAAAGCATTTTAATTGGCTTATAACAAAGCCTCTAATTGCATATAGTTATCATTCCTGCCTATAAGTATGTAACTATTATATAATTTCATATGATATGTATAAATATATATTTTCTGCAGCAAATCACTACTAGAGGTCAATTAATTGTTAGGTGCTGACTCGTTTTAAGAGTACACAATGAATGCACATTAGAATAGATTTGTAAAAGTGTAGCATTTACTATGGTAACCTACAGAATGCTCCCAATAATTCCTTTGGAACTTTTTGATTAGCAACAATTTTATAGATTTCTTCCATTTTATCCCAAAATTATATATATATATATATATATATATAGTTTTCAGACCACCCCAAGATTCAGATATTTTAAAAACACCTTATAAAGTGGTTTGCAAAGTAAACGGAGTTTGCAAGGATGATGGATGGATAGAACACGCAACATGCATCTTCCATAGAAACATATTTTTTATACAGGATATAATACGTGCAAAACGTAATTCTCAAATCCTACAAAGATTTTAAAGGGACACTAAACAACATTACAATTACAGATCTGTAGCAGTTGTGTTGCTAACAGTCTCTGTGGGTCATCCCTATTTTTTAATCAGACAGTTTGGGAGCAGTCTGACAAAGAAATGGGAGTCTCTTTTGTACTTAGAGAAACCCCCTCCTCAAGTGCCTTGATTTATTTATCAACATACATTATATCCAATCTGGTTGGCAATCATAGGCTGGAGTTGGGGAATGGTTGCTGGCTACGGAGCCCACAGCCTATTTACTGTATAAACACTGCACTGAGCTATAGTGGATATGTTACTTAGAACACCCCTTTAAGAGCTGTCTAAGATACCTTCAGACAACAGGCAATGTGCGTTACTAATCAACATGCAAACTACTGCTTGAAGAGTGAGCAGACCACAAAAACTGGAATGGGGCATCTCTGTTATAGTAGGTAGAGTACTCCTCACTCTCACATAACTCTTCATTGAATTGGCTACTCTGGTCTACAATTTGCTTGTCAATTATTCAAATTCCTATTTTATATATATTTATATTAACAAAATCTGTGTCTAAAAGAAATACCAGCTGATTTTTATTTCTCCAGTAAATTAATTTTGCATGGGAAATCTCAACCTTACCACAAAAGACCAATTAAAACATTTGGCTTTCAGAACAAAGGGTTAAAACAACGGCAGCTTATTGTATAGTACCCAAACAGAGGAGCGACCTATTGGTCAACATTTTTAAGGACCTCGGAGACAACTCAAATTCCCAGGTATGGCTTTTATTAGATACCAGATATTAGATACTAAACAGACATTTATGTTATGTTCCAAATTTTTCCATCTAAATAATTCCAAAGTAATTCTCGGGTCATGTATTATATATATAAAAAATGATGAATGACAGATAAGGCAACATTCTCTATTTGTGACCCGTTTGGTCATTGGTGGAATATGCTTACAGGGAGGTCCATTCCAGGAATAGTAATGACTGTTCTCTACCCCTTAACCTTTTTCTGCCTCTCCACACAGTTTTCATCTTACAACCGCCAGTATTTTCTTTCCACTTTGGGAAATCTGGCCATGGTGCCTCTCTATATGGTGAACCTGCGGGCCAATGTCCACATTATACTTTGGATAAAGCTGCTATAACAACCTGCTGTGTGATGTCATTGTCTGTGTTAACTTAGACATTCTAAATGCATCCAAAGCATCATGGGAGTTCAGTTTTCCAACATCTGGGGATCTACCTTTTGGGCACCCCTGACCTATAGTTTTTCTTCCATCTGTCTACTTTGACACCATCTTTGAGTATGAACAGACTAGGCAAATGAAAATTATGGTGAATACTTGGGCCAAAATCTATTAATGTAATATTTTACATACGACTTGTATTGTGTAATCCGTATTTCTATACATTTAAAGAGGACTCGGAATAGCTATAATTATTACCAAACACAAATACATAATTTTTGTCTTTCAAAATACATTTGCATGGTGAGACATCAGGTTACTTTAAGGTAAAGTACATATAGCAGTTGCCCAAATTGTCCTTACCTGGGTATCGAACATCATCATTATAAATGATCATCCCCCGTTTGTGCGATCAGAAACCCGTTCTTCTGGAAGCAAAGCCTGAGACGGTTAATTGTTTCCTAAATTAAAATGCTCCTCACCTCTGCGTAGGTCTAGATTGTCTGCGTTTTTTGTTTGTTTTTTAAAAGCGGGGATCACAATCATATAGGTTTCAGTGATGTCAAATAACTATCTTGGGGGTCTTGCCTGTCTTGAGATAGGGTTACTGCATCCTAAAACCAGCACTCGGATATCCTCTTCCTTTTTGGAAATTGTAGTGTCAAAGGTTGATAGACTGTATCACTCAATCCTTCTTTAGCAGGTGTCTCTTGCTGGCCAACATTTCCAAGAAGGCTCTCCAAATGCATATCAACAGCAAGTGTGCAGGAATGAATAAGAGGAGAAAATGCAACCTCAACAGAAGGGGAGAAAATAAAGAAGGCTAAATTTTGAAATTACAAATGAAAACGAATAATTGCCAAAATTCATCTTGTAACCGGCAACCATTAGCACCATTAGATCGTAAAATCAGCAAATAATGCACAAGTGTATTATAAAAATGCCATTTTCTTTATGCAATGAGTATGTTACAAATAATATTTATATAGATTTAAAAAATATAAAAAGTGCAGGCATTCCTAAACATCTTCTCAGTGTCTGTAGGATCCATTGTGTGTGGGTTTCGCAAATGATTCTGCAAAGTGGATTTGGCTGAGGCTGGTGGTCAGAGGGGTCTGGTCAGGCTTGTCCTTGCCTCACCTTAGGAAATTATGGCAATAGGAAAAGGAGGGGGTATAGGAGGAGATACAGCCAGATACAATAAGAAAGGTTTTACCTATTCATTCACTGACCTACTGCGTCTGATCCTAGGGGTAAAGGATCATCCAGATCTTCTTTCTACATCCAGTCTTGTGCAACATAATTGAAGGAGCAGGAAATGGAATGGTTGGAGATAAAAAGGGAGTGGAGGTGAGTTCTTCAGTCAGATGGTGTAAAAAAAATTTTCTGAGCTCCTGATTTTGATGGACAGCGACAGGGAATCACTCCAGGGTCCCCAGGTCAGAGGCAGACTCATCTCCTTGTAACTACAAAGGCCATGCAAGCAGGGAAGGAGAGGGGAGGGGGGACATGGAATGAGGGGTGGGAGGAGGAAGCAGGGAGTGAAGCACCAGGCTAACCAATGGAAGTCAAACATCTGCAGGATCCAATTCACTGGCAGAGACAGCAGGAGCTGGGCTATGTGTAACTGTGGGTGCTCCCCAGAATAGGAATCACTGTAGGTCCAGTTCTGCAGAGGAATGCTGCCTGGGATCAGCTCATTGCAGAATGCATGCAAGGATACAATAAAAATAGACACTTTATTGCTGAGCACACTTAGCAGTTGCAGAGCTGAGCTAGGCAGACACAGGGAGTGTTTCTTTACTTGCCTGCATATGCTCTTTAATCCTCCTTCCTATATTATTTTATTAACCCTGTAAGGTTCGTATACTTCCAAATCCTCCATCTAATCCAGCTTCTGGTGCAAGCTATGAGAGGGTTACCATTCTCACTACCCATAGGGACTGCCCTGTGTTTGTAATCAGTCTATCATAATTGGCATCGGCAGTACATACATGCCCGAGTCTCTAGAGGTAGCTGTCTGTCTGTCTGTCTATCTATCTGTCTGTCTGCAGCAGTCTCCAGCCTGACAGCTGTTGAACTGTTGTATTTACACTGTTATTATCTTTAATAAAACACCATGTTCTGCAGACACACCCAGACATGTGTCCAACTACATACATGTCATTGGCCAGGACTTTTACTGCATTAGGGCTTATTCACTAAACAAACATTGCAAATTGCAGGCTAAAATAGTCAAGCTGTGACTTTAGCTGAATTGGAGAATACTTCCCTATCGGCTATTTATGCCTAAATTTTGCAGGTCTGTTAATTTACAATACCCTGGTTAGTGAATACTCTTCTTGTAAAATATATCTACCTACTGATCTAACCCCATCACTCCTCCCCAGCCTACATCCATCCATCCTTCCATTGATTGACCTTTTTTCATACAACCAATTTAAAGTAAGTTGTGTTTTATAAAATTTCTGCCTACTTAAATAAATCACATTAGTACAATAAATGTGTAGGATGGAGTTACAGCAATGACACAGGTCCCTGGGGTAGTACAGAATGTGGCAGATGTGGCAATTCCATTAGCAAGACATCTCAGATCGAGTGAGTAATGGGCGGAAACCTGATAGGTACCTAAATATCCCCTATGACATTATATCGGTAATGAATGTTTTGTTAGTGTGGCTCGGCCTAGACTTTTGTAGTGATTAACAAAATTTCAGTGAACCTATTACCTATTTTTAATTTTATTTTATTCAGTAGTATATGAAAAATGGGTTGATTTTAACATTAAAACCACTGATAGGTGAAGTGAATAACATTGATTATATTGTTATAATGGCACCAGTCATGGGGTGGGATATATTAGGCAGTTCTTGAATTTCATGTGTTGCAAGAAGGAAAAATGGGCAAGCGAAAAGATCTGAATGGCGTTGGCACGGACCATATAGTGATGGCTAGACAACTATGCATCTCTTGTAGGTTGTTCCAGGTATGCAGTGGTTAGTACCTAAAAAGAAAGTGGTGCAAAGAAGGACAACTGGTGAACTGGTGTCAGGGTCATGGGCATCCAAGGCTCATTGATGCACGAAGGCTAGACTGGTCTAATCCCATAGAATAGCTTCTGTAGCTCAAATTGCTGAAAAGCTTAATGCTGGCCATTATAGAAAGGTTCAGTTTCTCTGACCAATTTGGGTATGTCCGCCTCCCTTTCCATGCAACGACACCCTTCGTGCCATAGGTTGCTGACATCTGCTACAGATCATGGGATTCCTATTCAATATTATAACTGTTGCTACACAAGACAATTAGACCTTTTATGAGATTCAATGATACAACTTCTGTTGGCAGTGAACTCTGTACATTTAATGCCGTGCAAATAGTGTACCTCACAGCATTTCAAGTGGCCAAAGAGGGACACTTATTTTATGGGGTGTGAATGGAGGTGTGGTTAGGAGATGAAGCTATTCTGGGATATTTCAGGTGACTTCATGATTTACTGAAAATATTATGTGTAACTGAACATAAACATAAAACAAAGCAATATTATATTTAATATATATTATTATTAATATTATTTTTACCAATTAATTTCTAAACACTTTTATTGTAGCTTGAAGTCGGAGTATTGTGAGTTTTATTGCTGTGAAGTTCTGTTATAAACTCATACAGACACTGAGAATGTGCATCTTCTTGATTAAAAGGACGTAAAAGGACAGATGGATTTGTGCTGTCTTGCTTAAGGGGACACTGTAAGCATTGTAACTGTTTAATCTCATTGAAGTGATTATAGTGACAAACAGTCCTGGGAGCTATAGTCCTTAGAAGGATTTTCTCTGCTGGAACAAGGTGCTCAAAAGTGAATCGCCTTTTCCCTCCCAGCAACTAGACAACCCATAGTTCTGGGAGTAGAACTGATTTTACAACTGATTTTAATGAGCCAAACTCGAGCTTTTATGCACAGACCCCAGCAGGGGGTCTCCATACAATACAATACAAGCCCCTCCCAGGAGTCTCTGGGCCTGGGAGATAATTGAGTTATAGACCGGTAAGCTAGTTATCTCCAAGGAACAGAGAGCCAAACACATGCCAAAATTAGCTCCATAGCGGTTGCCGCTAAGTATCGCAGACGACCATTCGTGGGTTTGTTTATATGGACGGCCGCCAGGGAGCTAGCGTTCGGTTCCATTTGTAAAAAATTAAAGTGCCAAACTAGGTGCCCCACGGGAAGGCTGCTAATGGCAGGTGGGCAGGTTAACTCCCAAACAGTGTCTCAGACCTAGACCATAGTCGGTGGGCAAGAGGCCGGCTTCCACACTCCTCCAGGAGTTTGTGGCAAATGTTCGTGGGAAGGAGTGTTTGTCACTGTGTTAAACCATTTTAATGTCTTAGTGCTTAACGAGAGTACCCTACATCCCATCTCGTCTTCTGCTCAGGCAAATAAAGCATTAGCCTGAATAGCCATGAGCGGCAATCAGAGTCAGCCGACCATTTTCAGCCTATCACAGCTGCCCATTGCTGGTATGAATTGGCCTGACTAAGTAAGTGTGTAATCTTTGCCTCCTGTTGCAGCTTTGCTGTGTGTAGCCGGGGACCCTTATGTAGTGTCTCATGGCTAGAAATGGTTTAACACTGAATAAAAGGAGATTGCAAGGAGTCTAAAGGCCCTATAATCAATTCAATAAAAAGGTTGGAGTGCCTATCGTGTCCATTTGCAGCAGGACACTTGAATGGTATGTGGCAGCTCTGTAGTCTGCATCACATGAATTGTGTGGCTCTGTAGATCTCGATCCGAGATACGAAACAAAATCTGATTACTTGCTATCAAATTCCATATTTCTACCTGGTTGTCTGGCATTAACCAGTGCTACATGTTATCAGCAGGGGACGTTATAATGAGAGGCTAGGAAGCTGTGTCACATGGTATTTTTGGCAGCTGTACTGAGTCAGCAGCTGAATGAAATGCTGGAAAGCGGTCGCTGTTGAGCCCAAGCTCTCTGGAGCCGTTCCCATGGAGACCGCTAACCCAGCTCTCTTCTCTAAGATCTTTCCTCCGAGCTATTGTGCGATCTCTATAGAGCCCTTGAGAAGAAAAAAGATGATGGTGTGGGTTGGGAGGGAGTAGAACATGTTTAGCTATATATAAAAGGCCAGAAATATCTTTAAAATATTGCTGAGCTAAAACCTGAGATAAGCAATCCCAATAATATATTACTCATCACAACATGATGCAACAAAGGAATTTGCACCTTCCAAAATATTTTTAAAAGGTCAACACTGCACTAAAATGGTTAACAGAGGATTCTGTTAACATTTTCAGTGCCTGGTAGATTAGCCACCCGTACATAAATAGTGCTTATTAGGTATGGGGAACATCAGAAAGAACAAATTATATATATATATTTATTTGTGGTATATAAACACCAGTCGGTTGTGGTGTGCCGGAACCGACAATACAGTAGGCCTGTAAAAAAGAGGGCCCACTTATAGAGGGTGATGGGAAAGAGGGAGTGGTGGGAGGGTTAACTTGCTAGACCAATAACAGTATGTGAGAGAGGATTGGAGTCCCTTATAAACGGGACCCAAGCCCTTCCAAAACTACAGGCCCTGCCTTAAATATGTCTGCCTTTGCTAAGAGCATGCAATACATTAAAAAAAAATTTTTTTGAAGTTTATCCAGAAATATTAAATAATTTGTAAAACTTAAAAATATTGAATCGAGACCTTAAATTCTCACAAAAATAAAAAAACAATTAGAAATACACAAGTCATAGTGTAGCATATATCATAATACACTAAAATGTATCTAAGTAAATGGCACACACACATAAATATGGGTTTCCGATGCACTGTACTGCACGAGGACAGTTCCCTGGTGTTCCCAGATGCAGGATGCAAAATTCAGATGGCGGGATAGAACCCCAAAATCGGGACTGTCCCGCCACAATCAGGACTGTTGGGAGGCATGGCTTTATACTATAATCAATGTACAATAAAAAGAGAATAAAACCAAAATGGTCACGTGGAAGAAAGCCTAGAAATATGGCTCAGTTCAGTAGCAACATGTGTACAAAGTGCACTCTACACTGACCCAATGCCAACATATACTTTTGGGCATGAGGCGTATGGGATTATATAATTTAAATTTTATGGGACACATGCCAGGGGGGACCAGGCAAACACTGGTAGAATATAGCAGAGCAGACAATGCCAGGTTCCCTTTATTAATATGTGACTAGCCTTCATTCCATTATTAATGGGATGCGGGTGTACACATCTGGACCGCAATGTAATTTTATTATTACGAAGGCATCGGCCCACTGAGAGGATCGTGTATGGTCTGAGCAGTCACTAGCTTAGTGGACATCCCCCTACCATGGCATGTCAGTTGGGGATTAAGGGAGGACTATTGTTCTCCAAATAGTTATAGGGGGTCACATTGACCCTTGTATACATTATTTTTAC